TATATATATATATATATATATGCACCAAGAGCTCCGAGACGTATTTTCGTAATTTGAGCGAACGGTTCTTGTCTGAGAGTGCAACTTTGGCAAATGATGAACAAGGATTCAGGCATCTGGATGATAAAAATCAAATAATTCGATCCCTACTCGCGACGTCAGTTTTTTTCTAATTGAGGAGCTACCGCACGTGTCAGTTCGATAGACGTTGGATAGCCTCTTAGCAGAAGTGTCATAAGAGAACTTGTTCACCAATTTAGGCCACGTTATTGGATGTGTGGAAGAAGGTTGGACTTCCTGGATCTGAAGTGAGAATGGACTGGATGAGCATCTGTTATCAACCAATCAATTACGAGGATCACAACTAAACTCATTGTCTTGTGGATAGGATTTTGCAGTCGGGTGCTATATATGGCGTCACTCGTAAAGCAATAAGACAATGAAGCTTAAACCTGGATGAAATGAAACGAAACACCAGTGATGAACTAGAGAATATGCCAAGTTTGAAACACGAAACGCTCAGTGCACAAAGAGTCGTAGGCAGAACAAGCAGCACTGGAAGTAACCATAAGTTTCTAGACAAAATATCACTGATTCATCTTCATTCGTTTCAACTCGATTTCGCAAGTGACACTAAATTGACTGAACACAGCTCACAATGGCCGGGACAGGACGGAACTTGTCAAACGGAAGTTTCTGCTGCCTCACTGCCGACCTCGTTTTAATAAATACTGTCAGTCACTACTAAACTGCTCGGCGAAGACTAATGACCAAACCAGAAAATTAAACAATCATGCATCAGAAACTCATGGACCAAGGTGATTCACTATGGTACTGATTCAAGTCTGTATGCACCAGTATGATTTCTCATAGTCTCGCGAAATCGGCCGAGAGTGTGCTCTACTGGATTGCAGCTTTTGACAACCGCTTTTTTTCCGTGAAGAAAATTGTTTTTCAGGCTGTGGTGTACTGCGCTGAAGACCCCCCATAGAACACCTAAAGAAACTGGAATAACATCGTGTCATCGTCCGACCAATTATACTACAGAATAAAAGGCTATCAAAAATTCCTCATTTTATGGGTACAGTTCAGCGTATCAGGTTGGAAACTGCCAAACACAAACCATAATTGCATCGACATTATTATATACTTGAATCGTGCTAATTGTTCCTCTAGTCGTTTGTGACCTTTGGTGCACCATATTCTGAATCCTGACGGCTACAAAATATATATTCGGAAACTTGAGCCCCAACCAGTAAATTATTTCTGAGGGAACTTACCCCGAGGTAAGCTTACTCACGAATGGTCTCGGGTTTCTGGTTTTAGATTGGTAACTACCGACAGACCACCTGGCTTCCAGAAAAAGTTTTCCATAAAGTTCTTAAACTTCCTGA